TTTTACTCACGAAAGCTTATGCCCAAATAAATCTGTTAGTCTTTAAGGTGCCACCAGACTTCTTGTTGTTTTTGTAGATACAGACTAACACGGCTACCCCCTGATACTTGTATTTTCACTGTTACAAATACCTGACATCATTTTAGTTTAATTCTCAGAAATGTTACAAAGGAGAGACTGGGCTAAGTGACCATGGAAAATGGCTTGGATAAATAATTTCCAAGCAGCTCATATGTCTGAGAGCTTTGTGGGCACATACAGAATACCTCTACACTGGGAAAAATTTTAAGAATTTTTCTTCACTGACTCAGCTCAACCCAGGCTGCCTGTGGTGGCAGTCATAATAACGAGAACATAATTTTACTACTGTATCATCTAACCCTGTTCAGAGGTAGTTTAAAAACACCCGTGTTCTGTCTACACTGCAGCCTCCACCATTGCTACCAGTGATGTGGAACTATAGTTTCCATTATTCCTACTGTAGTCAAGGCTACATTGGCTGGCACCCACAGCCTTTGTTAGAGAATCATGCTTGACTGGCAGCAGAGGATGTGTCCACAGACAGTTATTAGGAAACTTTGCCCACAGATCACAAACACATTTGTTCTTTTTAACACCAATGACTCCAGCAGCCAATGGCAGTGCACATTTTGTCTGTGACATCTCATAAAATGAAAACACATCAGATCTATTTTGTAATCCATTTTTGAAGTTAGTATCTGATTATAAAGATAATTTCAATGATAAATTACTTTAAACAAAAGTAGTCTACTGGGCATAACTATTTGCCCTCCTCCCCCACCCCCCCGCTCCAGTGTTTGCTTCTCCTGCTATGGCATTTACATGAGTGGATGTTACTGAACATCTCAACACCTGTGTATCTGGAGTTTTGGCTTCATGTTTTGGCACTATTGGCAGTTTGTGTTTGGTTGATTTTGGTTTTATTTGTCTATTTTTTTTTAATCTCTTCCATAATATTAATGATCTCTAGCTAGTTTCTGAGGAAATCATATGGGAAATGAAGCCAAAAACAACCTTCATGATCCGAACTGTCCTCTGTGAACATTGGAGAAGTTTAAATTAGGAACCAAATCCAATCTTTGGAATTGGACCCATATCTAATAAATATGTTAATACCAGAAACAAAGATATAGTGGGAGAGAGAAAATAAAAATGTAACTCTACCTGATTTCCCTTCCGATAAGAGAACGATATAGATTTTTCTTATGCATTTTTGTTTTCAGAGACGGGACTCTGAAAATTGAGGAAAAATAACCCTGTACATTTCATTGAAGGCTATTTCCAAGATCCAAACTGTCAGTCTTTTTGGTTTGACCTACTTTTTAAACTGAGATACATGTTCATTGTTACTGCTGTTTAATAATCCGAGGGTCATTTGAAGGGCTTTTGTTTGAGAGACTTTTCAAGCAAAGCCAAGACAGCAGTTTTCTTGGTTGTAGACAAAAATACATTAAAACAACCAAGGGAGCTATTACTTTTCCACATAATTATTTTTAATGTCTCACTGGACATGTATGAAATGCCTTTTGGTTCCTGTGGGAGAATTACTTTTTTTTGTTTTGTTTTCACATTTTTTAGTGTGGCCTTTGTTAAATTTCTGTTATGTTTTTCTACTGTGCAACCCTCACCTCAAAAGACTTTATAAACACAAGCAGCGTCTTTAGGAACAGGCTTCCAGTGTGGCCAACATGGTACATGTAGTTTTGTTACTGGTCATAAGGCCCTAAGACACTTGCATTCTTTAGGTCTACTTGAAAATAAGCGTATTAAAATGCAGCAGCCTCATGTACCTGGTATGAAAATGCGTGTTGGAGATCCTTCCAGTTTCCTCTAAAAGGGGAGGATGGGCCAAAAAGAATCAGTGATTTAAAGTGACAAAGCATATTTTTCTCTTCTATAAAGAAAGCAAACAGAAAAAATGGCACATAAATCAAAGCATAGAGGGAGGGAGAGAGAGAGAATCTTTTTAAAAAAGACAAACAATTCTGTAAGATTAAAGTTTAATATAATTCCTAAGTGGATGGTCAGGGCTGATTCAGAACATATACCATGTGTGTGCTGCTGCTGCTGCTGTATGGGGACCTATATTACGGGGTTTGAAGTGGAGGAGGTAGAGGGTATGCCCTCTCCTAAAACTGAAAGCCAACTATGATTCCCATTCCACTTTGAAAGGTGAACTTGGGGACCCCGCCCACTCTGGCTCACACAGTGACAAGTGCACCAAGTCCCTTACCAGATGTTCAAATTCTTCTGACAAAACATCTTTCCAAAGGGTGATAAGTGTTTGACCAACCCCAAATGTACTATGTTTTTGTAGCTGTCAGGCTCAGACCTACAACACAGGGGGCACAACTGCCAGGGCTAACCCTATATCTAGAGATCATGGAGGTGCATGTGAGGTTGGTTGGTTGGTTTTAAACATGAAATTGCTGCTGCTTTTATGTGTGCCAACTGCACCTTTGAACACCATGTATTCTACGTTGAAATATCTTTCATGAACGTTTGTTGTGTTTTCTTTTCCTGGGATGGTTGTTTTATTTTGGGATTCCAGTGACATTTCCTAGCCCTTCTCTTACAAATGAAAGATCCAGACTCTGAGTTGTCTTGCTCAGTGACATGGTATATTTATGATGACCTAGATCTGTTTCAGTTCTGTCATCTTCCAAAAATGCTATCTTCAGAGTCTGTCTGCAGTGACATATTTCACAAGAGGGATGCATGTCTTTAAGAAAAATGGTTGAGCTTACTAAAAAATATGGTGTGTTTTCTATGCAAGAATATTTCCCAGTTGGATTTGGACCCAACTTCAGATGCATGGTACTGCTAAGTTCTGAAGGACCAAATAAGATTTTCAGTATCTGCAGTTTAACTAACCTAGTTATGTATATTTGAAGTCTGTCAGTCTCTGACCTTATAAAATAGTAAATTGTGTAGGTGAGATTTAATTGTGTAATAAGGTCTAGTTTGTGGAATGATCTTATTTCACTCATGGAAATGCACCGCACAATTCCAACATTAAAAACAGTTTCCACTGGCTTTCCCTAGGGTTAGTTACTATGATGATAGGAGCAAAATAAAGTGTCACTGTGTCACAAAGCGACAAATGTGTCATAGTGTTTAAGCATGAGACTGGTTGACAGGAATTCATGAACTCTAGTCCCAGCTCAAACGTTTCTCCTTTTGTGGGTGTTGGACAAGTAACTTGTATTTGCCTTGTGTTTCCCTGTATCGAAAATTGGAATAATATGTCTTAATGCCGGGGTTAGATAATGTTTGTAAAATACTCTGAACATAACAATCACTATAAATGTTATGTATTTAATTACATTAATTTGTGACGAGTACAATGGAACTAATATAGTTAGGGCATTGTCTGGAGAAAATATTGTCTAAGGGTCTACTAAAAAAATGATCTAGCGATGCCATCCAAAGCTTCCTATGCTGATATGACGATCTTGTGTTCATTTGGACTACCACTCAGTTGCTTAAGATGATTCTGAGATCCAGATTGCAAAAATCTTGCATTTTGGGATATCCCAAAATGCCATTATACCCAGAATATTTAGTTTGGTTCTGAGCTCTTCCATACCGGAAAATGTTGGTGGGTGGAGCTCATAGGAGAAAGAGAGGGTTTATGAGGAAAGATTAAAAGAACTAAATACATATAGCTTGGGAAAGGAATGACTGTGGTGGAGGGACAAACCATCCTATAAATATGTGAAGCATGTAAACATGAAAAATGGAGAAGAACTATCTAGGATCTTACAAGTGGGTATAATGAGTAATAGATTAAATGACCAACAAAGAAAAAGAGGAAAAGCTTCCTGACAATGAGATCTGTTAGATTATGAAATAGTCTTCCAAGAAAAGCCCTGTGATTTGAGAAATGTAATTCTTGACTCTCAGAACCTCTGAATGGATGATACTTCTCCATTAATATTGTGTTGCCACTGACAGATATAAACTTGCTCTTTTAGGCTTACATTTTCAAATGTACATGTGCAGACTATATGGGCCTGATCCTGTACTATTGAAATCAATGGGAGCTTTGCCATTGACTTTAATGGACTCAGAATCAGACCATGCATATAAATCAGGTAGTTGCATGTGCACCTGGTCAGTTGGACTCAAATGCACATGCATACACAATTACTTGATTTGCATGCACATTTGAATGTGTAAAGTAGGTGCACAATTCCACATGCATTTATATGTGCAGCTTTGAAACTTTGGGCTCTAGTCTTTACCACATCTGTATGCAAACTGCTTATAGGGGATGTTGCAGTAAGTGTCAAGAATATCGAAGAAGTGTGTGTAGGTGGCTTGAACAGAAACTGATAAAATATGGTAAATTACCACAATGATTCCAGAAAAGCAAATGTAAATACCAGAGAATTGGTGATCTTGTTGGTTTCCCCATTGTTCATCAAAACAATGTTTGAACATTTTGCTACTCATAAATAGCATTGTTTCACTGCTAATTCCATGTTTGGTTGAAACTGGTTCTAACAGCTAATCTGAAAGAATATTACTGGATTAAAAATTCTGCACAAGTTTTAGCTGACATTAAACCTACTTACCATTTGTTGCATTTACTTGGACTGCTCTCTAGGATTTTCTGTAAATAATTGATAAGACTGAGAAACCATTTTGATTTGAATGATCCCAAACAAGACATTAGAATCACTGAAGGCAATAACTGTATAAAGGTCAAAAAGAGGATGTCTTTGCAAAATACTATGTTTGGTCTGGGGAACAAAATTCCTGGAGATAGAAAATGGACTGACAGCCAGGTATTTCAATATGTCTTTTCTGAGTGTACTTTTTTATAAACTATTCAAAGTATACTGCTTGTGTGTAATGTAGGCACACACAACAAATATACATCTGTGCAAGCAGATCATCAAAACAAGTAGAATTAATGGCCCCAAGTATGGATAGAGAGGGCAAAGAATTATGCTGCTTAGAGTGAGGCAATGAGATAAATAACTGCTAAGAAACCTCTTTGAAACTGTACAGAATCCATCTGCTCTGTTCCCAAGAGCTAACCGTTTGGAAATGTGGATCCTCTGAATTTGGAAACAAGTTACATAGAAATGTGAGTTTCTTCATGTGAGTTAATCTATGAATAAATCAAAATATCCATTTCTTGTAGATACTTTCCTTGCATTATCTTCTTATTTGAATTTAATATTTATTATCTCATGAGGGCATGATTAAATCTATGTCAATAGATCTATAACTTGGACTTTGTGAGATATATCTAACTTCTACGAAAGGGGAAAAAATAAATCACTTAGATGTGGAACAGTGATCACAATGGAAGTTTCTTTTACAAAGAATTTATGGAGACTTTAAGTCAGTGATACATTTTGAATAAATGCACTATTGACCAGTATCAAATTTCCATTGGCTTTATCTTGTTTTTTCTAAGCAACTGCTCATAAACATTTTTTATATCTTGATTAGCATGGTGGTGCTACTTGCAAATCTATTCATAGAACGATTAATCATTTGTGTTGTAATCTAAAGAAAGGAGTTGCACTTATTTGGTTGTTCCTTTCATTGTTTCTCTAAAGAAACCATAAATTACAAACTGACAGGGTCTCTTTGTCCCTTGCTTTTTCTGTTTCTTTTCCACCAATGTGTTTAATATTTTGAACAGAGATTAGGTAAGGTATCACCAAGGTAGTCTTAGTCTGATCTGCATGTCATTTAACTCTACAATGAACCAACGAGAAAAGAAGACAAATAAATAACAGTTCTGATTGGTCTAGATACAGCAGACTTCCAATGTCTCTTTAATTCTTGTTCTAACATTTTGCAACTGAATAGTAGAATGTAAACATTGGTTATTTTTAAGTTTGTTTTAGGGCCAAATTCATTCTTCATGTAACTCCATTAGGCTTACACCAGAGATAAATTTGGCCCTAAGACTCTGCTTTAACGAGTGATTTTTTCCCCCCTCTCCCCCTTAACTTCAGTTCCAATTCTCCCCAGCCTCAAAGTTTATCAAAACTACAAAAAAAAAGGGGGGGGGGCGATGGTGGTGCTGCTGAGCCCAGTTTATCTGCAAGTGTAAACAAGGAAAACATGGGTGCTGCAGTACTACTGTTGGGGGCCATATAAATACCAGAATAGACAGGAGAAGGACAGACTGTATTCAGGACTATTTCAGAACCCATTGTTAAAACCTGCTCAGAACACTGACAGTAAAAAACTTTTGAAGGGGTGTGAGGAAGGAGTTGAAGTTGAGGGGAGTTACAGTTGATTGTCTACCCTCTCAGCAAATTGGTTGGATGTTATATGCAACAGTGCATACATGAAGGAAGAGTTGGATTTAATGGGGGAGGGAAAGGAAGGAAGCAAATTTTATGTGGGTTTTTGGGGGGTGGAAGGAATGATGCAGAATAAAGGGCTGTGAGAAGTCACTTTTTGAAGTTGTTTTTTATTGCTTGCTTCCAGCAATTTATTTTTCAAGAACCATACAGAAATGATTAAGGTATTGGCCTTCAGTATAGGTACTTCATTTCCACATACTTGAATGTGTGTTCTAAGTGGATCCATTTATAGAGGGCAGAGAGTATGTGTCTGTGAGCATTATAGACATGTGCCCGTATAGGAACACTGTATGAAGTAGTCTGATAAGCACAGAGCATCTGAATTCTAAGCATGATCAGCCTTGATTGAATGAAAGTGTCTATTCCCTTGACTTCTATCCAGTAAAATGATTGTGCCCTTAGGGCCTGAGAGCATGGAATCCTCTACCCACAGTGTGAAGAAGTAGTGGAGACACTCTGTGGCTGGTACAGTACTATGAGGGTTGCAGTAGCCCTGGCATTTTCTGCACTCTCCCCTTGGCAGACTGCATGTGTTGGCCACTAAATGCAAATGCACTCACTCCTCCTGCACCAAAAGGAACAAACAAATCACATACAGCTTTGACATCTTGCATGGGTAGCAGCATGAGATCCCATTGTGCAGTGGGATTCCAGTGGTCCTGCCACATTCCAAGTCTTCCACAGCACTGGGCCATCATTTTTGCTATGGATCTGCTGCCAGCAAGAATATCAAAACATGCCACCAACCACTGCTGTCCCCACAAAGATTGGTTACTGTGTATTTAAGATATGGACAAGCTCCTTCCATCCTTCATTTTCAACTTGAATGATGGAATGGTGCAAGCCTTAATGTTGGTATATTTTACATATTTCAAAATGTATTCATATTCCTGCTTGTCAGACACAGAAATGCCTGACAAGAAATGCCATAGAAAAGAGTTTTGGGAGAGCACTGACCCAGTGATGCTGCACAAAATACAACAGTATGCATGTATATAGCACTCTTTATCCCAACATCCTTGTGGAATAGGTAAGTATATCACTATTTCCATTGTATATGTGAGTAAATAGAGGCGCATGGAACTAAAACTCTGGGTCCTATTCATAGTCCCTGCTCTAACCACTGAACACACTGCTAGAGCCTTCATATTCTTGGGTTCTGGTGTCATTATTATGCAGTGGGACAAAGAGGGGACTCTGAATTTCCCCCTAAAATAGAATCAAGGTCCCAGTAAAGGTATTAAGCATATGCCTAACTTTAAGCATGTGCTTAAGTTAGGTAGGTACTGAAGTGCACTGCTGAGGCCTAAGGATGCAGCCACTCACTTGACATCACTTCCTCTGTACCCAGGGGTTCAGAACAAGATTTTAGAGAAGTGGACCAGATTCTCAACTGGAATAAATTGGCAGAATTCCAGTGGAGTTATACTGATTTATACCAGTTGAGAATCTGGTCTATCCTGTATCTTTGCCCTATGTTACTACAAAGGGGTAGAATAAACTGAAATTAGGACTTCCCTTGCATTGTTAAATGTTTGTTGAGAAATAAAAATGAAACATGAAGCCATACATGGTAGGAAAACATGCTTGTGCCTAATCCATTGGAGAAATTGTTATAGAACAATTCACCCTTAGGGCAATACTGCCCTGTTATTTTGCTAAGGTTAGTGAGACCTTGGGTTATCTTCTGTGTCAGTACCAGTCACAAACAGGCTTCACTTACTCATCAAAGTTGTCATAAGTATTCTGAGCTCTGTTTTAGTGACTTGGCATAATGTGCTTATTTTAGCTGGACCTTTCCCACCTCTTTTGAATGTGTAAATCCTTCCATTGCATTCCAGATGTGTATCTGGATTCACAGACAAAATGCCAGATGGCTCAGAGTTCTCATAAATTTTATAGGGGACAGGGGTGACTTGCTACTTTTTCATCTACAATATTATATTTAAGGATGGATCTGCTTTAAGCTGTAGTCTACCAAGCTATAGATCAGATTAATTCCTTGGCTCCCAGTTAGCATATTTAAAAGTAGTCATTTCTGATTCATTCAGTGACTTTTAGATCCTTTCTCTATATAATAAATTATTTACTACTTTAAAATGTCAGAGAGAAAAGGATGGAATCAAACTGCAACATGTTACCTAAAGTAAAAACAAAAAGCATATACTAAAGTGCCAAATACCAATAAAATTTCGATATAATTGTTTTAGCTACTCTAAGTATATCTCCCTGTACATCTGAGACTTTTAAAATGTCATATATACCAGATCTGAAAGATGTTACTGATATCTAGTTCTATATGAACTTTTATTCACCAGAATCTTGGCTAAGGCTAGCTGCACAGGGATATTTTATGACCTTATACAGCTTGATGATTTACATTCAGTTTTGTCTTAGCAGTCTGGTAATAAATTTTAACAGAACCCCTGTACTACCTAGTACTTCATTTTAGTCCATTTCCATCCAGGAGGGGTGCAAGGTGAGACTAAATAACAGGAGAAGAGTTACTACAGAAAGTGGAATGATAGCTGCCCAGTTATTTATGACACTATTAAAAGGCGCAGGCACTAGTTGTTGTTTTTCCTACCAAGAATTCAAGCATAGAGCTAGATCATTATTGTAGCCTTTGTCAGATGCCTCAACAAAGTGAAAGAACACTTATCAACCCTATTTATTGGTTAATTCTTTCAGTGATGATATAATTAAAGCCAGTAATCAAGAAAATTAGGAGGGGAAAATGTAAGATAATGAAATAAACCCAGGCTCGGTGAAAGGCATTTGTATGAACTAGAAGTATTATCAAACACCGAGAGAGACTTTTTTTCAAAAGAGGGAGACTTGAACACTGTTTCCTACAGGTGCAGAGTAAGTAACTTTTTTTTCCCTTCTCCACAAAGTTGAATTTGGGGTCAGAAGTTCTAATTGTAACCTCAGACTGGAATTCCAGATGGTGTGTTCGGGACTAGCAGCAAGTCTCAGTTCATCAATTTCATGTGCTCGAGTATGTGCTCTGGCTGTGGCCCTGACTCCATTCCCAATGTGGCATTAATGCAGAACAAATTGAGACATATCCTCTATATAATTAGTTCCAGAATTTCAAAGATTTACGGTAAAATAATAGAGTAAACTCCCCAAATCTGTCTTATTTTGGCGTCCGCAGAACAGTGGAACACTTTGCTGTGGCATATTTACTGTAGTGCTGTACAGCATTGACATTGGAGCAAGTGAGGGAAGAAATAGAGCTGCAGCAAACTTGTTGTCAGTTGCTGATACTGGT